AGGAAGAAGCGAGCGGGAGAAGGAAGAAGCGAGCGATAGGAGGAGGGAGAGGAAGAAGCGAGCGGGAGAAGGAAGAAGCAAGCGATAGGAGGAGGGCGAGGAAGAAGCGAGCGGGAGAAGGAAGAAGCGAGCGATAGGAGGAGGGCGAGGAAGAAGCGAGCGGGAGAAGGAAGAAGCGAGCGATAGGAGGGCGAGGAAGAAGTGAGCGGGAGAAGGAAGCGAGCGAAGGAATATACCCTGTGGGGAGAGGACGGGAGGGGCCCAGCCGGGGCTGAGGAACTAGAGTAGAAAAAGCTCTGGGGTCCTGGCCTGCTCCCGTAACGGACCAGCCCGACTCGTTAGCCAGTGCTGGAGTGCGGGGGGGAAGCTGGGCAGAGAACCCAGGAGTCCTGGCTCCCAGCCCCTGTAAATAAATCAAGGCAGCACTGTAGAAAAACACAGGTTTATTCTGCTCCTGCCCCCCCCCCGTTCCCCCTCCCAGCCCCCCCATGGCTCTACAGCCCCCCTCACGTTATGTTGGTCTGGGGGTCGGCTCCGGGTACCCCAGGTTCCTGGCTCTGGGTACCCCACGTTCCTCAGCATGGGGGGCCCTGGCAATGACAGAGAAGAGAGCGTTAGAGTCCTTGGAACACTAGGCAGCCAGCCAGGACCCGGACGCCTGGGTTCGCTTCCCAGTTGTGGGAGGGGAGGGCGGTCTAGTGATTACAGTGGATGGGGGGCTGGCAGGAGCCAGGACTCCTGGGTTCTCTCCCCAGCCCTGGGAGGGGAAGTGGGGGTCAGGTTTGCTCTAGTGGACGGGGGGACAGACAAGAGACCACCTGGTGGGGGCGGGAAGGGAGACAGAGCTGGGGAGAGAACCCAGGAGTCCTGGCTCCCAGCCCCGTTGCTCTAACCATTAGGTCACACTCCATTTTTGTGCCTGTGATACCATCCACCCTCGCACGTTTGTTGCACAAGCCTCACGACCCGCGTGCGCTCCTCTGAGCCTTTGCACACTTGCCCCACAATGGATGAGGTCCGGGTGCCCCAGCCAGCCCCCTCGCACGCTCCGAGGCCTGGCGTGCAGCAGGCTGCACTGGGGGTGAGCTGGGGGCGCTGGCTGGGGCCAGGGCGGGCTCATTGCACACTCAGCATGCCCTGGCCTCAGCCCCCCTGCACCCGTCGCACGAGCAGCACGACTGACCGCTTCTCCAGGGGCCACAGATGCTGCACAAAGGAGGGTCTAGAGGTTAGAGCAGGGGGGGCTGGGAGCCAGGACTCCTGGGTTCTCTCCCCGGCTCTGGGCGGGGAGTGGGGTCTAGTGGTTAGAGCAGGGGAGCTGGGAGCCTGCACTCCTGGGTTCTCTCCCCGGCTCTGGGCGGGGAGTGGGGTCTAGTGGTTAGAGCAGGGGAGCTGGGAGCCCGGACTCCTGGGTTCTCTCCCTGGCTGTGGCAGCGTGGGCGGGAGGCGATACCCATGTACCCGCTATTTGCTGGCCGGGGCCGCATCAGCCCCGTTCTGGCGCTCGCTGCCCTTCTGCGAGAGGCGGGTGGAGGCGCTGACGGCCGTGGCCGCCGCCTTGAAGCTCCGCTTGCGCTTGGCCACGTTCTGCTCGGGGTGGAAGATGATGACGTAGACCTTGGGCACGTAGAGCATCCCCAGGGAAACTGAGGCACTGAGGCTCATGGACACTGTCAGCGTCGTCGTCTGGATGTAGATCTGCAGGGGGGGGGCAGAGAATGGGGCGTTCGGGGCGGCTGGCGCAGAGCTTGTCCCCTCCAGCGGGGGCTGCTGGGAGCCAGGATGCCTGGGTTCTCTCCCCTCCCTGTCTCCAATTCCAGCCCCTGGGCTCCCTCAGCTCTCCCGGACTCCTGGGTCCCCTCCCCTCTCTCCAATTCCAGCCCCTCGGCTCCCCGTCCTCCTGGGTCCTCCAGCCCCCGTGCTCCCCGGCCCCGGGGCCCGCGGACCTTCTCGGCGGACTGGGCGGTGCCGAAGAAGATGGGCACGAAGGCCAGCCAGACGATGCAGGTGGTGTACATGGTGAAGCCGATGGGCTTGGCCTCGTTGAAGGTCTCGGGCACGCCGCGGGCCTTGACGGCGTAGACGGTGCAGGTGACCATGAGCAGCAGGCTGTAGCCCAGGCAGCAGATGAGCGACAGGTCGGACATGTCGCACTTGAGCACCCCCCGGGCCGCCTCGGGGTTGGGCACCCGCTGCTCCTCGTAGTCGATGACGCTGTGGGGCGGCAGGGCCCCCAGCCAGGCCAGCGTCCCCACCAGCTGCACGGCGCTCAGGCTGAAGGTGATGGCCAGCTGCGAGGTGGGGCTGATGAACCGGGGCGGCGTCACCGCCTTCTTGCCCTGCTCGAAGATGCGGTAGATGCGGTTGGTCTTGGTGAGCAGGGCCGAGTAGCTGAGGGCCATGCCCAGCCCGAGGAAGAGGCGCCGGGCGGCGCACACCACCACGCCCGGCTCGGCGATCATCAGGAAGGTGATGGCGTAGATGAGGAAGATGCCGGTCAGCAACACGTAGCTCAGCTCCCGCCCCGAGGCCCGGACGATGGGCGTGTCGTTGTGGCGCACGAAGGTGACCACCACGAAGGTGGTGCCCAGGATGCCGCCCATGGCCAGGCAGACGGGCAGCACGGCCCAGGGCGAGCTCCACTCCAGCTTGACGATGGGCGTGGGCCGGCAGGCCGTGCGGTTGGGGCTGGGGCGCATGTCGAAGGGGCAGGTCTCGCAGGTGAACTCGTCCAGCTGGTACTGGTACCCGTCGCAGAGCTCGCAGTGCCAGCAGCAGGACACGCCCTTCACCATCTTCTTCCGCTCGCCCGGCCCACAGGGCAGGCTGCAGACGGACGAGGGGATGTCCTGCTGGCCCCCGGACCACTGCATCTCCTCGATCTGCCAAGGGAGAGCGCGGGCAGCAGCTGGCTCTGGGGAGGGGGGCTGGGGAACGGCCACACGTGACGCCACCCGGGGATGCCTTGCCTGAGGCTGAGATGCAGCCACCGCCTGGGAGGTGGGGGGACGCTGGGGAACAGCTGCACATAACGCCGCATAGGCATGCTATGCCCAGGACTGAAATGCCGCCACCTCTGCGGCAGGGCAGTTGGGGAATAGCCGCACATAACGCTGCATAGGGACGGCTTGCCGAGGGCCCAGATGCATCCAGTTCTGGGGCAGGTCAGCTGGGGAACAGCCGCACATAACATTGCACTGGGATGAGTCCCCTGCTGCTGAGATGCAGCCAGCTCTGGGGCGGGGCTGCAGAGGAATAACCACCCATAACGCCACAGAGGGACGGCTTGCCCAGGGCTGAGATGCAGCCAGGGGCGGCTCTAGCTTTTTTGCCGCCCCAAGCGCGGCAGGCAGGCTGCCTTCGGCGGCATGCCTGCTGGAGGTCCCCGGTCCCGCGGATTCGGCATACCCACTGCCGAATTGCTGCCAAATCCGCGGGACCGGTGGACCTCCCGCAGGCATGCCGCCGAAGGCTGCCTGACTGCCGCCCTCACAGGGACCGGCAGGCTGCCCCCCGCGGCTTGCTGCCCCAGGCACGCGCTTGGAGCGCTGGTGCCTGGAGCCGCCGCTGGATGCAGCCACCTCTGGGGCGGGGCGGCTGGGGAACACGCTCACACGGCGCCCCCTCGCACTCACGTTCAGGCGCAGGTATTCGGTCCATTGCCCGATGGCTTTGTACCCGGGCACTGTGGTGTTGGTGAGCTGGTACTGGAAGATATCGTAGCGCCCGGGGGCATCTCCGTTCTCGTTGAACATGACGGGGGTCCCAGCGCTGCCTGTGGGGTGTGAACAAGGGGGGCTGGAGGCAGCTCGACCAGTGCCCCTCACTCCTGACCCATAGCCCCTGCTAGCCCAGACCTGGGCTCCCCCCCACCAGTGCCCATCACTCCCGACCCACAGCCCCTGCTAGCCCGGCCCTGTGCCCCCAGCTCTGCCGGTGCCCCTCACTCCCGCCCTGCAGCCAGCCCTGACCCCCCCACCAGTGCCCCTCCCTGCCGCCCCGCAGCCCGCACCATTGAAGGTGACCCCGCGGATGTAGTGCAGCAGGGTGCGCCCGTCCACGGGGTCCATGCGCTCGCAGAGCCCGGGGGCGCCGGGGCACAGGTCCAGGTGCATGTCATGCAGGGCGTGGGCCATGGCGTAGACGGCGTCGATCACAAACTGCACCTTCCCCTCCTGCTCGTAGGTGGAGTCCCGCCCGATGCGCTCCTCGCCTGGGAGAGACGGGCTCAGGGGGCGGGGAATGGGGCAGGGGCTGGCCCCTCTAGGGGGCGCCGGCTCCCATCGGCCCCAGGGCAGGGACTGGCTGGCTCGG